GATTAACTTAGACTAAAGGCTCTTCATTGACATCTATTCTAATAGATGTCTTTGAAGAGCCTTTTTATTTGTTATTTCCTGGTGTGAATCCCATAATAGAAATCTAATGACTTTATTTCGCACGAAGATAAATCGAGACACCATTCTAACAGATGTGGATATTGCCACCATTATTTTAGGACACATGGCGCAGTGGATAAAGTTGTTGGTTAGATCTAGTGACAGGATCCAAAGAGTGTGAGTTCAATACCAGCTTAAGGTAGTGGAGAACTTGGAGAGTAAATTAACAGAAGATAATTGATAACTGACATCCATTAGACATGACACGTGGAACTAGAACAGTCTACCCCAGGGTTCAGTTCGACATTCCAACCACCTGAAGAAGGCTGTAGCATACAACGACAGAAACGTTGTGATAAATATATCAACAAAGATGAGGATGATAGTCCGAATAATGCAAATAGAGAACTTCTTTCTGTCCGCCATCATTGTGGCTGATGCTAATCCCCATGAGAGCAATTTCTTGAACACACGTTTTCAAATGACACGAATTGGAGTAGTTTTATTGAATCAATTGCTAAATTTTAAGTTCGCTCTGTGTGTTAGAAACATTCTTAGACATTTATAAATCTACCATTCGTCTGAGCATTAAATATTGCTGCCATATCTGGTCTGGTGTTCTTACTATATATCTCAAGATTCTTGACAAAACTCAAAGAAGGGTCGGGTAATGTAATCAATCCAAACTGAGCATCTTGATTTCAGTGACTTTCTCACCGTTGTGACGTGACTTACTTCTGTATTTTCTGCAAATATTTCCATGGCAATTGTTCTGATAAGCTGTTTTTTAAATGCCTCGATTGCATGCATTTAAGCGTTCTGCTATATTAGCAATTAGATTTTACCATTTTTCTGTTAAACTCGATAGAAGCATCCGTCTGTTCTATTCTACTTTCATTTCTCGCCTGTTGAATATCCGTCCGATTTCTTGCTTCCCCACCACCTAAAATCTTCAAATATTTAAATGCAACATCATCTACCATCTTCTGGCTTCTTGAAGTCTATGCTTTTATTGTTCTTTTCTCTCACTTCATCTGACTAAAGTCTTTTCATTCTTTTAGTGCCATTATCGTCTTGCCTGGGGCCGAAATGATTAAAAGAAATCTACCTGCTGACAGGATTTTCTTTTTTTTATGTGCCATGTCCTTTCATGACGTAGGCGATCATGACTCTCTACATCCTTGTATTCCTTGCAGCTCTCAACAAGTTCTTTCTTTCTGCTTCCTTCCCCAGATCACACTCTGTCATCCACTTGCTTAAGCCCGCCAGGTATGTCACGCGTTGTTTTCCCTTTTTATTTCCCTCTATTCGGCCTGTGAGTATCAGATTCTCCAGGCTTTCCTTCCTCATTATGTGTCCCAGAAAATTCAGCTGCCTCTTCTTGGTGTTAAGTATAAGCCACCTCCTTGTTTGCAAACTCTCGAAGAATTCTTTGTTGCTTACACGCTCGGTCTATGATATCCTTAGCATCCTTCTGTAGAACCACATTTCACGGAATAACAAGTAAGAAAAATAAGGCTGTTGCATATTTGTACGACAATTTGCAGCTCTTCACTACAAATTTGCTTCTCTACTCTAAAATGTTGAAATTTGCCCAAAATACCCAGAGATATTGCATCAGCAATTGGATTCCGGTCATTGGATTCAATTGGTTAATGTCTTGATTTTTTTTTTGTCAACAGATATGTCAGTTAATTTATAGTTATGACTGCTTCTTCGAGAAGGAAATATTTTAGTTAATCTGCTAATACGTGGAAACACGTCAATCGATGAAGAATCCGAAACACATTTGACTGAAAAATGAATGATTCGTAATTTAAATAAGCGATCCAGAAAATGGTGAATATATTCGGAAAATTGTCCTAAAACTAATTAAAAAATCTGCGAATAGATTTAAGGTTTCTTCCTTTGTTCGCAAATTCAGTTTTCTCTATTTCTCTCGTGTATTTCTTATATTATTTATTGTCTTCTTGTAACCCGTTTCTCGCCTTACAGACGACACCGTCCTGATTTTCCCTTTGGTCTATTCCATGATTTTCTAGTCTTTGACAAGCGGAATATCGTGTTGGTGAGGCTTGTTAAACAAAAATCATTTCCGAAAATGTTACAATGCTAACTATAAAAAAAATCGCAATAGTTTCGTTGACATATTGTCGCGCTCACAAAATCTATAGCAGCCATTTTGAATGAAGAGACTATTGATGTCAGTGTCATCTTGAACCGGAAATGTGGATAGCATAAATGGCCGTCGTCGTGCCTGGCGATGTCTTATGTTCATCTTCCGGTCGCCGTGTCAGTCTTCAAATTGATCCTTTGCGTCCGGTTGTGGATTACATATTATCAGGCGCTTTTTGTGAACGCCAGAGAAGGATCTTATTTCACGGTCTCTTCATTCTACATCCTGTCTTGTATCAAGCGGTTTTACGTTGGCTTCTTTGGCAGCCATCTTTCTTGTCAAGATGAAGTGACTTTCTTTCCCTTTTTTTTTCGATTCTTTCCTCGTTTGCTTTTATTAACCATTCTGTTTCTAGGAGTTTTTCACTCTTTTATATTCCTTCATTCATTTTTTTCCTCTCTTTTAATGTCTTACTCTCGTTTTCTCTTTTAATTTCCTTCGTTTTCTTAGATTTCTGTAATTTTCTGTCCTCGATTCTCATTTCCTTCGTCTTGACGTCATTATACCTAGGTCAGCTCTTTTCTGTCATATCTTTTGTCAATAATAATAATAATAATAATAATAATAATAATAATAATCAGTAGAATGTTATATTTCAACACAAAAACATTACCTGTTGTTAGTGGGCTTTGGGAATTATATCAGAAGAAACAAAACGTGGATCAAATTCCTGGCAGTCTTAACATATATGAATGTCAAAAATTCATACTCAGAGATAATTTTCACATTATGCTTAGATTTTATATTTTTTTATCTTTTTCCGTGGCACCGCATCTGTTTACATCTTCTAACGCAAAATCATTTTGTGTCTTGAAGTCACTGGTTGAGACTTGGTGGCAACTCTTACTATACAAAACAAGGGCAAAACATAATAATAATAATAATAATAATAATAATAATAATAATAATAATAGAACAAGGATATTATCAGAAATTGTTGACGCGTTATACGTGTATCAAAGATTCCGAAAGATTTCGACTATTGCTATGTGTTTTCTACCTAAGCATTTTGAAATATTATTAAACGACATGGCTGTCTATTTCTGCATTTCTTTTATTCAAGCAAATATTTTTTGCATTTAAAATGTTTACAATTTTAGGCTGTATGGTCCGATATTGATTCATTTCTTTTTACCTTCTGAATTTGGTGAACATTTTGAGTGACATTTCAGTCATGATTTTACAAAGGGCTTTAAGCCCATTGTAAAAAAAAAAAAAATACCTCAATATTTGCATCCGTCCTAACATCTAAAAGAAAATATACAGCTAAATAATAGAGGTACTGATATGAATTTGGTTTGGTTTGCTTTACGGCTTATCAACCTCAGTGGGTTATTTAATGCCGACAATTTTTTTTATTTCTGGTAATATTTTTTCTTCAAAAATGTATTGCTGATAATAAATTTTTTTACAAAGTATTTCTGGTATTAAAACCTATTTTTATACTTACATAGTGTTTTGACTCAAGTTTGAGGTTTAACTATTTACCCATAGCTGGAATCCTAACAGGTGCTACCACCCCGGGTCAGGGTGGACCTAGGAACACCAGTAATTAAGAGGTGGTTCCACGTTCCTCAAAACCTCCTGATCAGAGGCCTTGCTGTTGGACGTAGTTTGTCGTCGTATCCAGGATACGGATGTAGTTTATCGTCATAACCTGGAAGGGGTATTGATATGAAATTTATATTACTAATAATATAATGGCATCATTAGATGTATATATATATTTTTTTATCAACTTCACTTCAAGTAAGGCAATAAAGCCACTAAGACACAAGGAGTTACTGAGTGTGGAAGAATTCGAAACAGAACATTGCTAGGGAGCGAGAATAAAAGAAGAGTAATCAGTAGGACAGTAGATAGCGATTGACATTGCATTTAAATTTTTAAAGATTAAAGTTGACTGGAAAGCATAGGATCCGAAGGGAGTTCCACAAGTGAGAGGTGCGGGGAAATAAACAGCATAGGATTTACGGTTACATAGAGCCAGCTCAACTGTGAATTGATGAAACCTCTTCGCCAGTCTGGTGCTGCGTTTAAATCCCAAAAGTCTAGGGACCATAGTGAAGAACTCATCCGAACAATTACCATGAAATTATTCATAGTCAAGACGCAGTGAAGCAATATTACGGCGGTGGGAAAGTAACTAAAGCCGTGCTGCCAGATCAGGACCAATAATATTGCCGCTACTTCTTTGGATTTTACCAAGGAGCTCAAGATAAATAGCAGATGAAATAAAGGAATGATTATTGGAAAACAGAAACTCTTGATACAAACTGTTTGATATCACAAGAATATCATCACTAATGATATTCATAAGAAGTAATGCGGTGACAACATTTACTTCCATTCTATCTCCCGTCCTGCCAAACTCTCTAAGACCACAAACACTATCTCTCTATCTTCTTGAGCCATTGTCTGCTAAGTTCGAACAGTGTGCCCAAGTTTTGAAGATTTGACAGATTTCAGTCGTTCGTGACTTATGCAGACTATACGAGGATTATTTAAAGAAAACCAATTCCATTTGGTCGGACAGACTGAATCCGGAATTTAAGCTGCAGTCTAAAAATTCCAGCAAGAATTCCACTTGCCCAAAGGCAAGGAAATCTCAGGCGATTACATCCGGATGAGAGCCATGAGGTTAATCCCTTAAGTGTCGTCAAAATTAAAAGGGTCAAATAGCGTGAATTCAAAATGATACTCAGCGAAAAGTAACACGGGTCTAGATTTGAAGGCGTTGAGGCTTTGGCAAAAAAGAATAATTTCAAGATTTCGAAGGAAATAAAGTGTGAAAAGAGAGAGAGAGAGAAAGAAAGAATGTTAAGTGAAGAGTGTAACATGGATTATTGTTTGACATGAAATGAAAAGCAAGAGATATATGAACTAGGTGTATAGAGGAGGGAGATGCGGTGCAAGTATCAAATTCTAAATACTGATAATAGAAAGAGAGTAAAAGAAAAGAAGAACTACAGAAGAAAGTAGAAAAGACAACAGAAGAAAAAAGGGAAAAGAAAGCAAATAACGGGAAAAAAAGAAATAGAAAAAAGAATAGATATCGGCAATGAAGGAACAAGAAAGAAAGAAAGAAAGAAAGAAAGAAAGAAAGAAAGAAAGAAAGAAAGAAAGAAAGAGGTTAAAATAAAAAATAGCCAAAAAGAAATAATGAAATGCTAGATTAAATTAAAACAAGAAAAGGATATGTAAAGGAAAAAGAGAAATCAAAAAATTAACGGGAAATCAAAAAAGCGATTCCAACAAATGGGAAAGAAAGAAAGAAAGAAAGAAAGAAAGAAAGAAAGAAAGAAAGAAAGAAAGAAAGAGTCTGGAAATATACAAAGAAAGAAATCTGAAAAAACAGAACAGAAACAAAACAAGGAAGAAAGACGGAAACGATAAGAAAGAAAGAAAGAAAGAAAGAAAGAAAGAAAGAAAGAAAGAAAGAAAGAAAGAGAAAACCAAACATATTTAAGGGAAAATAGAAATCAAGAAAGAAACGAGAAATCGAGAAAGAGAGTACAAGCAATTGAAGGAAAGAAGAGGATGCTAAGAAAGAAAGAAAGAAAAAAAGAAAAAGATAAAGAAAGAAAGAAAGAAAGAAAGAACACAAAATACCAAGGAAAAAAATCTAGCAATCTAGAAAGAATACTTGTAATCTAAAATCCAGAAAGAACAGAAACCAAACAAATAAAAAGAAAGGCGGAACCGATACTGAAAAGAGAAAGAAAGAGAAAGCAAGAAATTCATACGTAAGGAAGAAGAAACATTCATCAAGTAACAAATTCTCTAGAGAGAAAACAACAAAGAAATCTAAAAAGAAACTTCCTTTACAACATTCTCGAGAATTTCTTGCAGTTTTCTTTCTGTGTCTGCTAACAACATGGTGTTATCTGCGTATCTTATGTTATAAAAATTCTGCCTACCAATAATAAACCCTGGTAACACTTCTCATTCTCTTAAGATCGCTTCACTGTGATGGTTCAATAAATCCGGTGCGAATACACATCCTTGTCTTAGACGGTTTTCTGTTTTTGTGTACATGATCAATTCTTTTTCTATTTGTAGGAAGACGGTACGTTAAATAAAGCCATGCTATTGACACAAATGTTTTATACCATCAAACCCGTAGATAACACATCCGGATTATTTCATCAACCCCGTAGATAACACATCCGGGTTATTTCACCAAAAATTTTCTGTTATAAACGACGGAATGAGTCTGCCCCGGTTTTTATTTTTATCGTGGAGCAATTGGCATCAGCAAGCGCACGTCCTCAGCTTTTTCGAAGACAAGTGAGTTTCTTCTGTACAGCATATTTGCAACTTGCGACAGGAAATGTGATAAACCCAGGTGGAAGCTGATAAAAAGGAATTTATAAATTTACAGGACAATTTTTTCACCATAAAAAGCATTTTAAAAATCTCAGACGGATTTTGGGTTTATTCTTCAATGAACTGAGTGAAATATGGCCAGATCAAATAGTAAACATAGTGATGATTGCATGAACGTATTGAATTGGTTTGGTTCCTTTTCTTTTGCGGTATATCAACCTCAGTAGGTTATTTAATTCCGACAAGATTAGGTAGGTTCGTATGAATAGAATATGTAAGAAGTCAGTTAATAGATCAGGTTTTATTGACGTATTTTTTATTAAGAGGGATATTGTTAGTAAAATGTTTCTTTCAAAAATGTATTGCTGGTACTTTTACTATAAAGATCTATTTTTATACGTTCTTACTGTTTTGATCCCAGTTTGGGTTGTTAAATTTTTGCCCATAGCTTGGAACTCTAACATGTGCTACCGCCTTGGGTCAGGGTGAACCTGAGAACAACAACAATTAAAAGGTGGTTTCACGCTCTTCAAAACCTGATCAGAGGCCTTGCTGCCGAATGTAGCTTATCGTTATACCCAGGACAGGAACGTACTGGAAAATAAAATGAATGGAGAGTACAAAGAATAAAAAACACGTTTGAAAGATTCATGACAAGCGACAGGCAGAAATTTCATTCCGAATTCTTTTTTCCCTTTTTATTGGTGAAATTCTTTTTACTAAATCATTTTTTCTTTAAATTTTAATTTTAATTCATTAATTGGTTGTGTAGCGATTCGGGCAATTCGCAGGTAACGCAAAACTGATTGAAGATGTAAAAGAGACAATAATTGCAAATATTCGAATTGATATCCTGATAGCTGATCCTCTTTAGATTTCACACTTCTAAGGCTTAGCTCTATATGGTCTAAGCGCATCTCTATCTGCTCTAAGCGTATCTATATAGTCTAAGCCTTACTCTGTGTGGTCTAAGCGTTATTCTATATGGTCTAAGCGCATCTCTATCTGCTCTAAGCGTATCTATATAGTCTAAGCGTTATTCTATATGGTCTAAGCGTTATTCTATATGGTCTAAGCGCATCTCTATATAATCTAAGCCTATCTTTAAAGTTGCCTGCTGTATGTTGAATGATAGCCAGCTAACATTGCAGACTGTTGTTAATGTAGTGATTTGAAACCTTATTTTGTGTTCTGCTAGTAAGACCTTGTGCCAGACTAAGCTAAGCCAAGAAAGGGGGCAGCATGTTTTGCCATTACATTTAAAAAATAACTTATCCTCAGGCTAAACTGGGCTGTGTAAATATAACCACACAAAGCAGAAAATTGTTTTTCTAGATTTTCTGAAAAATGGGTTTGTGCAATTCTTGACTATGAAATAAATTGTTATGAATGACCTATGTAAATTTAATAGATTATTTTAGACTTTGATCTTATTTGTAGACAAAGCAACTATTGATTGAGGAAATGAATACTGAAATCGATTTTTCATGGATAGTTGGCTTAATGCTTGCACGAACGGCCGTTAGCGAAGATCTAATTGAAAAAAAGATCTTTTAATGGCAAAACAAATGTCCTTATGACTGGCAAAAAGCTCGCTTTCGTAAAGAAAACACTACAATTATGATTATTATTATTATATGAACACTCACATCATTAATATCCACATCAGTGATGTTTCTAACCGAGGTTCATTAGGGTTTCGGGTCTTTCAACATCATACCCCCCCCTCTCCAGGGTGACTCAGCCGACACTGATCAGATATCGAATTTTGTAACTTCCGTCAGCTACAACATCTTCTTGAAGTGCACACCATACGACTCTTCTTGGCAATTTATCGTCCAATCCCGGATAACTTCCGGTTCACCAGTAGTGTTGGCTCTTCCATGAAAAAAAAAAGAAGGAAACACAGTCGCAATTTTCTATCTGATCAGGAATATGGCGACATGCTTGACTCAAAGTGATAATTACAGATTTGATTTCCACCCACCCTGAGGCATATACACCACACACGCACACAGAGAAACGCACTGAAACATCACATTCTGCTTACACTTATCCCCATTTTCATTCATGTTAATCATCCAGAAGAAAAAGGAAAAGGACCTTCCATCTATATGAGTTACACACACACATATCACACACATATTAATGCACAAAAAACTAAAAAAAAAATACCGTAATCCTGGTAGGGGGGGTAAAAGGTGCTAGATTTTCTTGGCCAGGGATCACCCGTAGGTAACCATGATTTGGGGTAACCTAATTCTGTCCCCTAGTCAAGACTCCATTGTCGGATGTAGTTTTAGGTTATACCGAGGACCCCCCAAAAAAAATTTTATATATGTATATATAAACCGCAACTTCCTTTTATTTCTTTACTGACTGCCAATCATTTGATCTTTTCAACCTAAGCCATCTTGAAACTTCTTCCGCTGCCAATGTTATTCAGCGAATAGTTACACCGATTTTTTTGGCAAACATCTTACATAGTGACCGCCCAGCAAAGTTCTGCAACTGATTTCAATCGGTGCGTACTGAGTTCGCCAACCGCGTCTTTTACATTCCTCTATAATCAGTAAATATTTCCCAAGTTTCCTTTCGTGGGCTTCTTCCATATTTCCTTCCCAAAGGAACTGTTAATTCCAACATGATAATTTGCTTGGTCTTTTCAGAATAAATAATCATGTCTGTACGAAGCTTAGTTTGTATTATTTACACTGGCTGCTTGCCTATGTCTATTTCTCAATTGCCAGAGTCCGGGGCAAAGCTGAGGGGAGACGTTTTTTCTTCTGCGTTGTCTTTACTATTTTCCTGGCTCTGACAAAATTCATCGCCTTCTTATTTGCTTCATATATGCTTTGTTTTAGACTTCTTGATACTCTGGTTGCAAGAACTCTTAAAACTTTATCATGGCGCCACAGGTACCTCCCCTCGCTAAGCGCTGAGGGGCAATCGCTCAATATGTGTTGGAGGGACCCTTTCTTCTGGCACAATGGACAAAGTGGAAATTTTTTTTCCCGGCTAGGCAATGTATGATAGACTAGCTACACAAGGAAGGTTGTATTACTAGGATTGGTGTACCAGAAATCTGTCCTTTTTTCCAGGTTCCCCATTTCGTCGAGGCCCCCTGTTGACCTAAAGTCACCATTTTATTTGATCTAATTTCCTCCACACTCGTTCTCACTTCAGATCGAAGACAACGTTTATGACCTTTCCTTTTTTTTTTCTCCTTCCCTCGCGGATTGGAATAGTAACCTAGGCCTGATCTGCCCACTGCTATTGTTCCTACTAGCGTTTTCTGTCTCAGCCTTTGCTCTGCTGATATGAGCTCGTGCGATGCCTTCCACTATCTCCCATTTCGAACCTCAACACCGGCTCCTACAGCTTTAGGATCTTTTGAAACCATATATAGGATTATCGTCCTCGTCTTCGTCACTTTAAACTCTTCCACTAATCTTCTGAAGGGAAGATGCATTGAGTAAGAAACTCCATAGAGAGCTGCACATCTTAAACTCATCGGTAAACCGAGCCATCTTCTCAAATATCAGTGGCCACAGAATCATTGACAGAATGGTATGTTGGTATATCCATGAATTAAAACGGCCTGGAAGACCTGATTTGTTCACTTTATTCAACATTGCTTCGAGGTCCGAAAAACATTTCCGGGTAGAATCAGTATCTTTTAAATTAGCACTGAAAATCTTCCCCAGACAATTGACTGTTTTTTCTTTTAATAACGGAATAATAGTTTCCTGCAATTTTGAAACGGAATTTTTCTATCACAATTCCTCTCTTCAATACCAATGACCTCGATTCTGTCGGTTTAAAATTTGTTCTTGCCCACGTTCTTATTTTTCTAAATCTTGAAATATCCACCGACATCCAGGAATGTCTGTGGATGTAGTAATGCTATCAGGTCATCCATAGATGCACGAATTAGCGGTTATCGTACTCTGTTTCTTATCACAAGACCTCGACACTCAACCTCTGCTGATTTTACTAACATATTCTTTGTTAAAGTAAATAATATCACTGAGATTGTACATCCAGTTATTATTCCCTTTCTAGCCGATGCCAACCAGAAGATATCAAATCAGTGGTTGTTTTTATGTTTAAATCATTATAATAATCTTGTAT